TTATACTTGATTTAAAATTGAGTCCCACATAACCAAAAGATAAACAAACTCGACGTTAATCAAACCAAGTATACTTTGAGCACTGGAGACTCCATCCCCAAATTCTGAGTTTTCAGATATGTGTTGTAATGCTTGTATAACATATTTCAATTGAGTAAGTAATGAATGTACAGCATTATACTTCGATTCCCAACGTGTTTCACTATGAGATTTCAATGTACATTTTAAAAACTGAGATACAATGTTCCAACGAGCTGTCGAACTAGAAAAAAAATTAAATATACTTTGTACTGTCCCGAAAAAAGTTACCATTCTGGCTGAAACTCGAGCTGCATGGGCTCCAACCAAATTTAGACTATGCACGGTACAAGGACAAAATTGTGCATATTTATTTATTTCCTGTAATCGAGATTGGACACCTTTAATTTTTCCAGGCATGTTGGCACCATTGTCGTAACCTTGACCACGGCAATTTTTAAATTCTAATCCATCTTCGGAAAGTTTTTTTAAAATTTCTTCAGCTAACCCTTGCCCTGTTTTTTTAGTTGTAGTTATAAAATCGATAAAACTTTCCTCAATTGTATATTTATCATTGGATTCAGCTACATAACGAACAATTTGAGTCATTTGTTCTTTATGTGAAATGTCGGGCTTTGAATCAAAAATTATAGAATAATATTTAGCTTCTTTGATATTAGAAATTATTTTTCCTCTGACAGAATTACCAAGTAAGCAAATGAACTCATTTTGAACTTTGTTAGATAAATAAGTAGTTCTTCTATTGAAATTTGATAAATGTTGTGCAATAATAGGGTTGTAACTACTTATTAGTTCAATCAAGTTTAAAAATTAGTTTAACAATTAGACTTAGTAATATCATTACTGGAACCTCTAAGAGCCAAATTATTAGGAAATAGGAAATAGTTCTATTTGGGTATCAATAGACGAAACTATTGATGTCCAAGGACGATATGTCGCAAGTGTAATAAATTGGTTCTCTGTCTTCTGAAAATTCAACAAAACCGATTGTTTTAATTGTTGAACATTTATAAAAGACAAATTTTCAAACAATTTCGAAATTATTCAATGATTCAATGAGTATATTATGGCCTGAAAAAGTATTGCATGACAAAGTGTTATTGTGTGTCACAGACGCCGCTCCTTAATGGTAAAATCTGGATATGCGCTTAAGGTATTTTATCCTAAACTAATCCATATTACCCGTATGGCCCATGGGTTTCATAGATTATCAGAAGCTATTAGGGATAAATTCTCAAATGTTGATTTGTTGATATCTAACACAAAACATTTTTTTTTAAAAGCACCTGGTCATGTAGGTACTTTTAAAGAAAAATGTCCAAACTTAAGTTTACCCCCACAACCTATTATTACCCGATGGGGAACGTGGCTTGATGCCGCGTTTTATGATGGTAAAAACTTTGACAAATTCAAAGAAGTTATCGACACATTCAACCCAAATGATGCAAAGTCTATTCAAAATGCACAACAATTATTTAATGATAACTCGATCAAAAATGAACTTTCGATAATTCTATCAAATTTCCAATGTATAACAGACACTATTACGTGTCTAGAAAAATCGGGTGTCAATTTTGGAAAAAGTCTAGAATTGGTTCAAAATGTAGAAAATAAATTGAGTTAAGGAGGACGAGGTATTGAATTTGCTAAAGTTAAGCTATCGGAAGTATTATCAAAAATCCCGGATTATCACAAATAAAAAAATTTCTGAAATTATAAGTGGAGAAATAAGAAACGACGATGAAGACCTTGCAGAGTTGTCACCAGAAGATATCTCTTGTTTCAAATACGCACTAATTGTATCAGCAGATGTGGAAAGAAGTTTTTTGAAATACAAGGTAATGCTACGCGACAATCGTAGAAGTTTTCAATTTGATAATTTAAAAGCACATTTTGTTACATCATGTTGGTACTTATTTAATAATTAATACAAATTTGTATGCTTTATACACATTTAAAAAAATGATATTTAAATTGTATTTTTTTTTCACTTGGAAACGTAAAGAGTTAAGTGGTTCCCAATATAAAAAAAATCTAAATCAAAAAAAGAACAATTAAACATAAAAACCGAGAAATTAGAGAAAAGTTAGAGGTAACTGTACATTTTATAACTATTGTTTCAATTTTATTTTTACAAAGTAACTGATTATTTATCTAAATATAATACTGCCAATTGGTCTTAATTGGAAGTTTGGAACGCTTTTTAATAAAATTATTAAAATAATTACATTTCTAAAATTAAATTAATATATAGTTAATACTTACATGGCTAAATAATATATTATTATAATTTATATATTTTATTTTTCCTTTACCCTAATTTTACCTGATTATAAATATTATAATATTTTGTATAGGTAATATTTAATCTTTAAGTAGGTACTCAGTTTCCACTGAGTGTAGAACAGTTTTCACCAGTTCCACTTAAATGTATAGAAAATGAAACAGTTCTCTCTATTGAAAATGGTACTAATGAAGCATGTGATGATTCAATTGAGGTACTTATGTTTATTATTTTTATTCTACATATAGCTAATAATTGTAAAAAATATAAAATGTAGTTGTTTTAAATTAATCTTAACATTTTAGGTTATGGGGCCATCCTCAGAACTTCAAATAAACATAACAAATACAATTGGAGGCATTTATGATGAGCTTCAGCTAGTTAATGAAGCATTCTGTAGTTCTTAAATGAGAAATACTGAGGTAACTACATTATAAAATATAAAAAATACTATTATAATGAAATGTGTGATAATGATTTTCACTATATTAAATATATTTTGTATGCATCATGTTTTAATACATTCAGAAGATACATTATTGTATATTCTAATTGTATGATACATTTCATTTGTTTTGAACAATTACCAGGTGCCTCTGCAAATAATTACTTTAATATTCTAAGTAAATGTATTGAAAAGTATGATTTGAATTTTTCCGTGTTCTGTGGCCAAGTTTATGATGGAGCAAGTACAATGTCTCCATTATCACCGATTAAGTGGTTTACAATCATGAGTAAAAGAGTTAAGTCCTTTTGCAATGTATATTCATTGCTGTGCTCGCAATTAAAATTTTTTTTTATTGATTCCATTAGATGTTCCGTTGTTGCAATTTCATTTTTTGGTACATTAGAAACTGTATATATATTTCTTACCATTTTTCTTAGACTTCATATTTTAAAAGAAGAACAAACAAAGCCTGTAGTACCCTATAAGGTGTAATATTGACATTAAAACAAATATGCAAAGGCAGAATATCCAACACAAATTCAAAAACTGTTTCTGAAGCACAATGTTTGCTTTTTCATGTAACGAAACTTAAATTTAGTTTTATGTTAGTCATGTGGAAAAATGTATTAGGAAAAGCTTATATATCATATAATTAATAACAAAATACATCAATTGATTTAAAGACTGTTTCTAATATGATCTCAGTTTGTTCAGAAATATACAATTTCTGAAAATAACTGAACATTTTCTAGAAATTCAAAATAGGTAATGCAGTCGGCATTGCGTGACACATTTGATTTCACATCAAAGTTTGATAAACAACTAAATAAAAAAATAAAACAATTTTTTAATAAAATAAGTGTAAATCAGCTGATCTACATTTTACAATTGATACATACTTTGTTATTTTAGATTAATTTGTAAATGTTTTTAAATCACAGATTTGAAGATTTTTTCTTATACTGTACAGCAATTTATAAGTATTCCACTTTGGTCAAGCTTTATGGCGGAAAATACCATCAAACACTAACCTTCGAAAATCATATCCAAATCCAATATCGAATCCATATGTATTTACTATTTATGGTTATTGATGTTATAAGAAATATTCATATCGATACAGTAACACGTATGAACCATAAGAGAATGCAAAATATTATCAGACCAATTGAAAAACAGAAACAAGTTAGTAAATATATAATAGTAATATTTTTGATTTTTAATTAAATTGTATTTATTTTTTAGAGGCATTTGTTTCAATTTTGGGTAGAAATTTTACTTGATGGAGATCGTATAAATTTTTATTAAATAACGTCGGCAGTCGGTTTCAGCCAATCAAACTTTGAAAGTTTTAAATTTTTTTGAATTTATATTTTTAATTTTTGAATATACACACATTTTTTGATGAAATATGAGAAAAAATAATTAATTATACATATACAATATACATATGCGTTTTTTGTTAATCGACCTTTTTGGGGTCAAAATCATAACTGTGCGGTTTTTGAATTCGACAACTTTTTAAATTGTGCGGTTTTGTCCTATATTTGATCAAAAGTGTCCGGTTTTTGGAGTCAACGCATACGATTGCGTACATTAAAGCATTAAATTTAATATTTACTCCAAGAGTCAAACGATTGCGTATGATTTGCTGTGCAACGTTGTACATTTTTTATTTTATTTGTGATCAGTAAAATTTTAATTTTGAAAAAATGACTTAAGTTATGGTACCACTATACTCAATTTTTTGACAAATATGTTATAATATAGTGTACAAAATAAAATAATTAAAAATAATAGAAGGTTTCAATAATATAATAAAAAATGTTATACCTTAGTACCACTTAAATAACAATATTTTGACAAATATATTATAATATTTGTATGAATTTTATACTTGTTATATTCTCTCATGGCTTCTTTTATACGAATTAAATCAGCATTTTCCATTTTTTTATTCCGACCTTTAAATACTGATTGAATTTTCGTACCTGTTTCCTCTTGCGTTTTTTAAAAAATATTTAAAGCTACGTGGACAAAAGGATGGGAGCTATGAAATTGAGTGTTGTAAGTTCGATGAAAACTTTCAGATCCATTTGTCGTACTTAAAAAAAAATAAAAATAAATGCAAAATTATAGTTATTATAATCCATCCCAGCCTGAGTTACGTGTTATATTATTATACATTTACAGATCGCATCATTTTTTGGACAAATTGTTTATAGGACACTTTTAAATCTTGTGTCAGAACTTCACATGTCAATAAAAAATAAATAATAACAAAAATATGATTATTTATAAATATTCATATATTTATTATAAGTACTATTTCAATTTAGTATTTACAAACAATAAAACTGTTTTAATAATTAGTGATTTAGTAATTGCCTACAAGATTATCGAAGGTGTTTATTTTGATAATAATTATAACATCTGTCAATCAGTCTTTATATTAATGAAAAAAATCCTAAATAATAACGTAGGTAGTTTATTTACCAACTGAATTTTCATTCGGAATCGGGGAATATAATATGCATAATGTTTAACAAAATGTAAGGTTCGTTATTACATAATATATATTATTATAAATTGATTTTTCAGTAAATTTCTATTCACATTTCTATAATTATAATATTGTGTATATGGATAGGTATTAATTAGGTAGACATGTCAGCTATTGTATAGTTATATAAATTAAATATTGTTAAAAAAAAAAAACAATAATAATAATAAAACTATAAATTAAAATTCTTATGATAATGTAAACTTTTTTGGGTATTTGATTAGAGTTGCGTGCAGTTTAATATTATAATCTTAGGCAAGTGTCTGTATCGTAAATCATGGAAATCATTGTTCTTATTTACCTATATTATTTTCCAAAAATGTTGTATAATATAATATTTGCTTATTGTAATAATAATGTTTTAAATAATACAGTATTCAATAAGTTAATGGACATTTAAATACTTAAATAAAAACAAATCTTAATAATATTATGTAAATTGCACGCAAAGCAAATACATACTTACAAAAAAAATGTGTCGAGTTTTTAACAATCTAAAATAATATTAATACATTGAACAAAATAGGAATATTGTGAAAATCTACCGATTTATTTTCCTCTTTATTACGCATATATATGAATATAAAATATATGAAAAAAATATATAAATATTTTGTGCGCGTCATATCAGTTAAAATATTGAACGAGTAAGATGCTTGAAATCGAAGAGATGATGAACGCCAACTGCAAACCGTTACGGAACTGTGACGGAGCACCAGATTTGGGGTTATCAGTTTGCACACACATTTTGGTACAGTCGGAATCTTCACATATTTCACATGGAGTCGCTTTTCTCGGTGCGTAAAAAACTCTGGCACGCCTCGCTAATAGAAGGAAAAATAAATAAGTAAATAAATAAATTTAGTAGTAAACTTAAGCAAGACACAATGTTATTAGGTAAAAAAAATTATTGAGAACATTTTTGGTTTGAAACAATACATCTAACCAAAAAAAAAAATGGCCACACTCACACTGATCGTAATAATCGTACACAGTGACAGGCACTGGCTTTTGATTGGCTACTTTGTGTGTTTGGAAAGCTGATATAGTCGGGCAGTATTCTTCAGCCATCATCTGAAAATTGTAATACAATTTGGTTATTTGGCCATATATGCACATTTTATAACCGTCTTACCCACATGTAATATAGCAAAGAAATATCCTTCGTTGTTACAAAATAAATAAAACGAAAAACCTTAATTGATCAGTATTTGCCGTTTATAATAGTTTTTAATAACAGTTATTAATTTAATGTTTCAATATCAACATCAAATAACATATTATTCAGAAGTACCTAATATTAATATATTACTTGTTTAATCAAAAACATTATCTTATATGTCCATAGTACTAACTATAGATAGGATACAACAACTAGATACTAGGTTAGAGACAGTTGTCCAAAAAATGACGAGGATTTTTATTCCACGATTTATACTAGTGATCCAGCAGTGACGCCAGTGAAAAACCTTCATAAATTATTCACAGAGATGCCCACGTGGCCACTAGCTCACTGAGCTGAGCTCGGAAAGCAAGAGAACGTGCTATCAGGGGTACGACACTCCGTGAATTGGTGGGAACGGGCGATGGTGGCCTTGAAATGGTATCTGGTGGTAAAGTAAACAAAATCTGAATAATGATTACTGAATGGTAAACAAGCCGACCCCACGCAGCGTACCCAGCCTACGTGGAAGTAAACGTTTACATAATACCACTTTGGGTCTAACATCATATTGGTAAATGTTTCCGTGTTTTTCGGAGGTTCAGACTTCAGATCATAGGTAAACAAGACCCCAACCAACTGATCGAGTGTCGCTTCTATATTGTTCTATGGTGCTATGCAACACCACCTCAAGTTGGTCACAGAGTAAATCACTCTTATAATTTTTCGAACAAGTGCTTATCACTCGTAGATACCATCTCCTTCTTATCATTGATGTCGACCGCCATTTACAAAGCAGGCAATGATTAGAAAAAAATATTATCACATTACACATGCATAATATATATAAATAAATGTAAACATTTCTTGTTTTATAAAGCAGTCGAATTCAACTTTTAATACAACAGTAGTAAAACAACAGATGTCTATAGTTGTTGTTTCTATGGTGATAAGGATAACAATCTCAAGCCCCTGGGAAAACAGTTAATTTTTCCGTGTTCAAGTCTACGATCAAGCGATCTCGTCAAAACACACGATACCTAATTACTGATAAATCTTGTTGGTAGTTAAGTTTATAGAAATTATCATGAGTAAGTGCTAGTGCTGGCATTCATAGCTCTTTAGTAGTGATTCATTTCGATCGAATTATAGTACCCAATAGTAAATGTAATTCAATTGGTATTGATTCTAAAAAGATTTTAATAACGAAATCAGACTTCCCCAAATATAAATGTATGAATATTTTAATTTATATTTTTGAACTTAAAAGTACGTTTATGTATATTATGTACTTATGTTCAAATATGGTATTTGTGGTTTAATTTTAATTTTTTTAAATTATGGTTTACCTTGTCAAAGTACAACATGACGACAGTATCCCCATCTTTGGTCTCGACGCGTTTAATATTGTTGGACAACCGGAGGCTGGGCAACGCATCGTTGTCCACAGTGAAACCCGAGGGTAGTGTCACTTCCATTACTGCCATGTTGCTGTCATTGCCTCCTCGGAAACTGCAAAAATAAAACCCAGCCCAAGTTTGGAGCAAATCAGTTGATTGTTATACGGAATGGAGTCCAACAGTTAAACGATATTTATTTTACTAAACGGTACATTGTGCTAATCTGAATACATGGAGCGCTTATTGTGTATAGATTCTAATACGAAAGTGTTTCCATCTACAGAGACCACCATCTTAAGTCTGTCAATGTTCTTTTCCATGATTTTTCATAGATAGGATTATTTTATAAGGTTATATAACACCAAAAAATCAGTGATATGCCTATGGTATCTTCAATTTTTTGACGGTCGCCTCTGCAATACTCCTTCTCGTCGGTACCTCCCTGCTGCGGTTGACGACACCATCAAACGTACGACATGCCGTGATGTTTGCGCTGACGTCACAACGTGCAAGACCCGGCTTCCTCTCTCCCGTTTCTATTCACCGCGAGACAAACCGCTCGACCCAAGTCCGCCTCTCTAGGCCTTCCCCATTAAGGTAGCTTAAGAACTAGCTTGTTGACGCCGGATATGACAACCGCTGCTATTGAGTCGAGCCAAGCACCCGTGTCTAATGGATTACTAAGTTATCAGCACCGATTCCCAACAGTGACGTCCACCAAATGTATCGGCAATGTATCGGGACATATGAACCCGTACTCGTTTCGACCTCCATACTCTCTCATCGAAATTAATGTCATAATCTTTTTCGATTCAATAAACTAAAACTTCTACTTCAAACCAATTGTGTTATCTCTTCTCTTTCTAACACATATGCTGTTGACGCAACGAAAAAGTGATAACCCGTCATCATCACATCGGATTGTTCACACCATAGATAATAAAGAATGGATAGGCCATTTGTGCTTATCTATGGAAATGAATAAGAAAATATTTTAAGGTTATAGCGGTCATAACACAAATATTTTATTACACAAATATACAATTATACGATTGTTCTTTGATACAATATACATTTATAGTAGTATTTAATATTAATATGCATCAAATTTGTTATGATATAATGTATTTATTGTATTTATGTTTTTATTATAATTTATAATTTTCAATATATATTATCTATGCGTCCAGCAATGATAATAATCACAAAATATAATTTAAGATAAGACCGCTATTATAATGGGAGCCATTGATAAACTGTTTCTTTCTCTCTTCCCCATTCCGGCACATATCCCTCTATTTGGTTAATATAGCAATGAGCTATTCATTCTTTATTATCTATGGTTCGAACGCCGCCACACGTTCTATGATAAAAAAAACATAACCACATGTGGCGCAAGCTATAAGTTTTATAGTTCGTTCCGTGACAAGAATCAAAATAGCAGTCTACTTAGGCGATAAATGTTTTCAGACCGTTCCATATATTCAGTTCGATGGTACAGCTATAGTAAAATTTAAAAAAAAAAAACATGTACCCGGAACAGACGGAAAGTTGAAGGTGATTGGCGTCCGAGTTCTTGTCCACTTGCGGATCTAACGAAAATAGTGGCCAAGCGCCGGTAACGTTTACATTGTATCTGTATGACACTTTGATGACGGCGAATCCAGTACCGGTGGCTGTTACGTTCAAGACGCGAGTGCGTTTTGGGAG